AGTTATAAAAATCAACTTATTATAATATTATAATACATAATATATATATATATTTTATTGCATGCATTTTATTTACTCAATTCATATATTTGTAATACATTTTAATAACTTGACTGCCTACCTAAAATATGTTATAGGTATGCATACCGACCATTAAGACTTTTAGATAATATACCATTGATTTACTCCATAAAAATACATTTTTAAAGAAACTAATTAAATTTTTTTGAGTCGACTGTATTAACAATTTTCTTAACTAAAAGTGAATAATTATGTAATTAAGTGTAAAAATAAATTTCATTATATTTTTATTTTTATTATACTTTTTTTTATTTAAACGTTGATACGTTTTTTTTTTTTTTTTTTAGAACTGATGTGTGTTTGACGTTTGTACACTAACGGGAATACTTGTATTTGGGACGCAATAGGACTATCTAAATTTGGACCGCAATTGAGTATTTCTGTCTAAATAACTTGGAAAACCCTGAAAAATGAAAATTCTGCGTAATGTACAACTTATTTATAAACAAAAATATATCATTAATATAATGTCACCTCGGGTTTAGCTGTGAGCGTTTTAATTTCCGTTCATCTAAAACATGAAATAATAAAAAAGTTGATGATATTTTAACACTATTCTACGGTTTAAAATGTTTGAAAGAGTATTATATTTTAAAGGAGATTTCTTGAATTCTAGAATGTTTTTCTGAACATTTTTGAATCACTATTTACTATAGTCATTTTTCGTTTCAATAATATTATTATATTATGAATGACACGAAAACATAAAATATTCAAAAGTTTTTGATAGATATATTTTTAAAACACTACACATGGCATGCGAATAACTCAATTATGATACATTAGTTTTTGACTATTTCAACTTAGCTTTTCTTGGTAGTTATACTTCTATAACATTATATAATAATACACTATAGGTACTGTGTATTTAGTGTTTATAGATATATTGTAGATAGCCAAGTTGATTAAGGGATAGACAACAATTTATTGATGTATCGTTTGTTGATATCTGATCTGTACTTGATTGCGGTCTAAAAATGGACCGAATATAATATTTTTTAATAGATAGATATACTATTAAATAATGATATTATTTTATTAACAATAAAATAAAAATATATAATGTATAATATATTTATTTTTTTTTATAATATTAATATAATATTATTGTATATATTTTATTATTTATTATTATTATTATTATTAATTTTTTTTTTTTACTTGACATTCGCATATTATAAAAACCATTAAAATTAACACTATAATAAATAATGATTTATATAATAGACTTTTTTTTAACTATATTACATTATACATTTTTTTTATGTAATTGAATATGTGATATTAAGTTATATTATTATGATATTACCGTTATTTTTGAATACTAATGTCATCAATAATTGAAAGTAAATAACTAATAACCATCTCTAGTAAGTATTTTTATGTAATCTGAATCTGAATTAATTTTAATCGTATAATATAATAGATAGATCGATTGATGGATTATGGAAGTAGTCGTGTAGATCTCATAATCAGACTTCAACAGATCTGAGTAATTTTTACTTGTAATTAGTTTTTGTTTTATTATAAGTTTATTATTATTCGTAGAAATTAATTCATAATAAAACCAGTACCCTTGTTATAACGTTGAGATTTAATACAAAGCTCATTTTCATTTTTTTTAAAGATTAAAAAATGCAAGAAGTTTATGAAGCATTTAAGGAATAACGTCAAACAGACTTATGGTTGGTTGGATCCATTTAATTTGTATGCGGCTTTGAAAACTTCTCGTGAGTTGCCATTAGAAAAACCATCCACGGTAAATTGTCGCGTTTCACACAAATGTACAAGTATTTACAACATTAGATATAGGACACTATAACATAGACCTGCTGTACTTGCAGTTACTGTAGGTACACTCGTTATTTTTAACAGGAAAATCGAGTAAAGTTTTCCTTTTAACTGAATTATTATGCTAATGTTATTTGACGATTGGTTAAGTGAAGTGATTATTATCATTAGGCCAATAAACAAGGTCTGCTATTTTCCTGTTATTCACCCCAAAAAGCCTTAGCGAACACATGATGTTGTATTAAAGTTATACCTAGGTAGCTAACATTTATTATGAAAGCACGATCATCTCAAAATCCTTTTCGTTTATAAATACATGTCGACATCGTGTAAAATTTAATAATAATATTAAAATGCATAAGTGTATAAGTTACCTATATTTTTAAGTTATTTAATTTTTGAAAATTTATATTTTTAGTACAAATACCCCAATTATTGTGTTATTGAAAATATTTTTACATTCTCCTACTAATAAATGTTTTTTTTGATTTAATACAATTTATAATATTATTAATAAAATAATGTTCTTTATTATACGCCATAGTAAAACGAACTCAAAAATCATTCATTTGAAAACAGAAATTCAAGAGTTTTAATTCAATTATATAATATTTAGAGCTCTTTAATTTTTCTGTGAACTTTAATTGGATAATGTAAATTAATTGATTTAAAATTTAAATTCATAAACAAATTACGAAAATCTAACTATAAATTTAAAAACATTTTTCATAATAAGTAATTAGGGTACTTGTTTGCTATAACATGTATTATATACAATGCTATTGTGAAAATATATAATTTTAGTTAAATAAAACAATCCGTAATCATACGTAGATATTGTACGTAAATAATATATAGTAGTCTCACAAGATTTTATTTTGATACGATTTTCTTGATAAATATATCGTCTTTTAAACGTATCTAACGACAAAAAAAACAAAAAAAAAATTAAAAAAATAACGTTGACACAATAATAATATTTTATATATTTTTATAATGTACAACATTCTAAAAAATTGTCTACTATATTTTGATTAATTAATTACCGTTATAAATTAACTGCAGTTAATAAAAAAATAATATATTTGATAAATTTTTCTGATGTTTATAAAATATTTACCAAAAAATGTAGATATATTCATGAATGTATATTGTGTGTTTTTAGAGACGAATTTGGAATTTGAATTCCTTCACGTCTAAGTCTTATTTTATTTCTATCTTCATTCCACATTTTCACACTTACAAATGTCAAAATAATTATTTAATCATCACAGTCATGGATCGTGGAATATACTTGGAGCAAAAAAAAAAAAAAAAATCCTTTCTTTTTTTTTATATGACACTATGATTCATAATAATTATAAGATTATCTAATAAAAATAAAACTGTTTTATACAAAATCAAGTACCTAAACGCTTTTTTGATGTTTTTTATAAAATATTATTAGCATAAATATTAAGTCTTGCCTCTCAAAAAAAGTGTCTGGCCCCCACGTGAAATGACTAATGAGCATTCAATATCCTGATTATTTTTTTTAAGATGCTAATATTATACACTCTTATATTTACCTCACCATCGCTGTGACATAATAGTTGATATAAATTTAGCGCTCACCAACATTTACCATTGAATTGGAATGAATTCACACCACCATTAACATCCAACGATAAATTTGAGTGAATTCATGCCTGTATCCCCTAACGCTTATCATGCTCACAATATCAATATCTGTTGTATGAAATATATTGCCGTTATCCATTATTATTCATACTTTATTGCTTTAGATTATTTTGATCTCCAAAAGATATAAAGTGTATATCATGTAAATATTATTTGTGTGTGTGTGTGTGTTATCAATTTCGTTTCACTCTGGCATATATATACGTGTTAAACATGTATGGCGTGTATGCATTATTGCACGAATAATACCTGTCAATTATTATCGATTAATATATCTACGCTTTGATTTTTTTTAATTTTAAATTTATCAACCTCCTAGTAGGTAGATAAATAAAATTAGTTGACCATTTATACAACATGCGTTTAAATAATATAACAACTGGGAGTATTAGTTTCAGTACGGTGATATGAACGAATAATATACACTGATATACGATTTCAAAAAGTTTTCAGGTTAAAAAAAAGATTTCATTTTAAAAATAATTGAAATAATTTTGTTCTTTTTTTTTTTATGAATAACTAATTAACGAATGTAGTTCAGTAAAGTGCACAAGCTTCTGTACGATATTATTTATAATAATAGATCTTGGCAATCATAATTCAATATATTGCGGCGTAGGTGGTAGGTCGGTATTTATTATATAAACTTACTTTTAAATTTTTCAAAAACATATAAAAACTTCCAATAAATAGTAATAACACGGATAAGGCCACAGCGCAGCCTATGACCAACGAGTGTAGTCATGGCATATTTTATCGGGAAGTTTTCAGACTTTTTAATACCTACGTAGGTAAGTGGTTAGCGGAGTTAGAGCCCTCGACAACTTCACGTCTTCTATTATTCTATACCGTTCTACACAAATACACAATACCCATTCATGTTTCATAAAATATATTTTATATCCTGTTGCAATTTTTTTTAAAGTATAGACCAAGGTCGGTTTACACGAAGGGTTGAGGTAAATATAATATTATATAGCTAAATATTATATGTACCTATTTAATATGGTAGGTATACTGAAAATCTATTACCTGTATACCTTAGGACATTATTCGGCGATGCGGTCCTGTATACTGCAGTCAGTTTGGACTAGAAACATGCATTATTATTATTATTATTATTATTATTATTGATTTCGTATGCAAAACAAATTCGTGAAAGACTTTTGAGAAAATCGTCCAAAGAAATTATGATTCTATACTGATCCTAGAGGATACGTCTCAGCGGCGTAACCGTTACAGGGGCGCAATCCGTGTGTGACCAGGGTCCGGGTCAACCACGAACGAAACTGTGTCCAAAGACTCGCCCTCCACCGGGCAGATGGCGCTTAGGACGCGGTCCGTGAGATTAAAAACATATATCTATACGTATTCGTACACATAATATTATTATTATATACTTTAATCTACAGTAATGTTGTTATTGATCCGCCGAGATAAACCACCGTACGCCCACTATCATGATAACGGCAGACTTGTTGATCTGCCGCCGTCGAGTTCAAGTGCCACTGACAACGGCAGCTGCTGTTGCGCTTGTCCGTCGCCGGGAACTGTTGTACTACGAGTTCCGGATCCGTCGCCCGGAAGCCATTCCGACTGTGATGCTTCTGTGCCCGTCGTCGAAATTGTGGTGAGTGCCGTTTGGGACGCGCACGGCACGACAACACCATGTCGGTCACCGCTGCCCTGACCGCGCTGGTCGCATGCAGTTCCTTTTGCCCGTTGACCCCCACCGCTGCCGATTTTCTGTCATCCGGTACAGACTTCCAACCACCAGCGTCCGACGACCAGTCGCAACAGCCATCAGTCGAGTTTCAGATGACCCCCGACCAGGTGAGAATGGTGTTCTCGGGGTACTAATGGGGTATCCTGCCTTCAATGGCCCCATTGTTGTATTGCGCACTCACCAGTTTATTGCAATATTGCTTGTGGTGTAGATGTTAGGTGGGTAAGTGGACAACATGCTTGTAGTTGTCGTCTGTGTGTCACCAACCACCCTGTTGTTTTAGGGCTGTTGTGTAAGAACCAATGTTCGGGTCTACGAATCCTTTGTGTTATTTACACATTTTGACATCATGTAGGTCGGCAGGTACACAATATTTCAAATTTTAATTTATAAGTACAAACTACTGCTATTTCTACTTCTTAAAACAAACTTTATGTTGATTTTATTATTGCAAGTTAAACACCATTACTCATTAGCCGCATCATCCAATAGTTATTTTTTCTGTCGAATAGTTACAGTGTAATAGATCTATTGTAGATAACATCTGTTACATTGCAGAATTATCTTCTTTGAGATACCTAATGTTTTGTTTTTAGTATCATACTAGTACATCTTTTGCCATAATCAATCAACTGTTCATATATCTACTCTCTTAATTTATTTGATTTGTTCAATATGGTAGATGAGTTACATTTATATTATATTGGTACTTATATATGTTTTTCTTCACCCTTAGAGTATTGTCATATTAAAGTTTTTACAATATCATATTTAATAATATTCAAAAACAATTGCAATTGTCAATTGATATTGTATCTACATTTCTGGGACCTCAAATAGATCCAGAGTATATCTTATCTATTATAATTAAATTTATACCTTTCTTTAATAAGTAGATAGTAATTTTTTTATTATTATTAACTATAACATATTATTATTTTGTTTTATTTTTAGCTCTACGGTCAGAATCAAGTGGATAATACTCAAGATAGTATTGATAATTCAAATGTTGATGTATCTCACCAATTTCGTAAGTACATATGTGCCCAATAATTTTAAAAATCAAAATTCTACCAGTTATATTTCTCTTGAACGTTCAAAGAGAATACAAGATTAGGTGTGTTGGTGATTATTACAAAGTATTTATGAAACTATTGTTAAATATTAAATTTATTTAAACAAAGAACAAAATAATTTATAAAAATGGGATAGTTATAATAATTAATGATTTTTATTATTTAAAATAATAGTTTAAATATATTGTAAATATTAATATCGTATGCTTTAAACAAATGATAAAGAAAATATGGATTTTACACTAATATAATTTAATAACTTTATATTAAGTATATTAAATGCTGTACTTCTTATAAACAAATGTAAATTTCTCTCTGTAGATGTAGTCAGCATAATATAATAGTTTTGAGAATTGTATTATTTGTTTTTTTTTTGACAGATTTACATGAATCTTCTGAATGGCCTTTTCCGCAGAAAATTGATAATCATATTGGACAAATTTCTGGTGTTTCCATAAGCAAAGACAATTTGGTATATATATTTCATAGAGGTGATAGAGAATGGAATCAAACTACATTTTTTGAAAATAATGTGTTCAGAGAGAAAAATAAAGGACCAATTTCTGAACAGGTAGTTGTTGTATTGGATCCAAAAAATGGTTCAGTAATTAAAAGATGGGGTAGTCACAGGTATTATATATTCATTCATCATAAAACATATTAATGACTATAATTAAAATGGTTTATACATTATTTTTGTTATAGGTTCTATATGCCTCATGGTATTACTGTTGATCATGAAAATAATGTCTGGTTAACTGATGTTGCTCTTCATCAAGTATTCAAATTTGACCATAACTCTGGAAATGTATTAATGACTTTTGGTACTGCATTTGAACCTGGGACAGATTCAAACCAGTTTTGCAAACCTACGTCAGTAGCTGTAACAACTAGCGGTGAATTCTTTGTAGCAGATGGATATTGTAATTCACGTATTATTAAATATTCTGCTGATGGACAAATACTGTTACAATGGGGTCGATCCACTTTAGTCACAGGTTGATAAAAAATGGTAACATATTATAAACGAATGCAGCCTATTTACTTAAATTGTAAATATTTAAAACACGTAGCACTAAAATATTATCGCTACAATATAACTAACTATTTCATTTATTATATTATATTTAGTTTCTTTTAATTGTTGATTGTAATTATGTCAGAAAAAAATATATAGAGTGTGTATTATGAATTAAAACTTAAATTTAATATTTTTATACTATACATAAAATTTCATATTAATTACATACATAATTACAATACATATATAATTATATACATTTCAAACAAAATATATTTATTTATAAATAATGAGTTATAAAGTAATTGTTTATTCACAAAGATTATTTTACATAATATAACTATTATATAAATATAATATACGAGACCAAACTGGCTAGTATATATATTTGGCTTACTAATTGTTAAATTTAGGATATTGTATAGTATATACTATATAGTTTTTATTCTTTTCTTATTAAATAATATTGATAGCAGGGATAGCAATGCAAAACAGTTCCTTATCTCTCTTTTTTCAAACAGAAAAAGAAAAAATGTATTTTTTTTTATAGATTGTCATTATTTTTTTACTTTAAATATATTATTGTAATATCCATTAGTTTTATACATGAATATTTACTATGATTAATTCATTCTCACAATAATGAAAAGAAATTGAAATAAATAAATAATATAGTAAAAAAATATAGATTGATAAAACTTAATCAAATATTAAATCTATTATTTCAAATATTTTTTATATTTTTGAAACATTGTTTAATTATTAGTTCCTTGTGCTAAGTATATTTTACTAGCTATTGAACTACATATTATTTAATATTAATTAAAGAATAAAGAACTAATACAGTTACATACCTTACCCCTTATTAATAGAAACTAAATATTAGTACTGCAAACTATAAAACAAGTTTTATGTTATAATCTGATTTTCTTTAATTTACTGATATTAATTTTTATATAATTAAAGGTGAGATGCTTGTACCTCCTTACCAATTGTGGATTCCACATGCTTTAACATTGGCCGAAGACAAAGAATTGATATGTGTTGCTGACCGTGAAAATAGCAGAGTATTATGTTTTAATATTAATAATGGAACCTTCAAGTTTGAAATTAATCCACCATTATTTCAACGTCTGTTTAGTGTTGCATATTCGCCAGTAGCCGGTACATAAAATGTATTAAATAACTAATTTGTGTAAAGTTGAAAAATAATAATGCTTATAATATTACTTTTTAGTTGAAAATTGTATGTTTTAAATAAATTAACTACCATATAATGTTTTGATAAGATGATAAAAAATAATTTGAATTTTCAAAGTATTATCTTTTATACCTATACATAATGCTTGGTTTTTATGTTTAATTACTTAAGTATTTTGTTTATTTTAGATGGACTATTTTATGTACTTAATGATAAAAATATGGATATAGTAACTGAGACAATAGCACAAGGAATTGTGATTAATGCTACATCACTGGAAGTAATTGGACAATTTCATCCTAAATATAATGAATTCTTGCGACCTCATGATATGGCTGTAAGTCCAGATGGAACATCCGTTTATGTTGTGGAACTAATAAGATCTCATGTACGGAAGTTTGTGTTAGGTAAATAATAGTAATTAATTTAATTCAATGATTTTTTTTTTTTTATTATTATTGTTGTAGTATTGTACTTTTAATGTTTTAGATTCAGATATCAAAAACAAATTTATAAATCAAAGTAATGATTCATTTAAATTTTCGTTGGATGATATAATATTAAACAAATATAATGTGCTAGAAAGTAAGTACAAAACTGAATTTGATTATTTCAAAATTACATAAATTGTAATACATATTTTTTTTGCTAATGGTAACTAATGGTCATATTTATTTTCAAATTTAAAATTATTTTTTATAATATTTTATAATAATAATGTATAATATATTATACTAGTACCTGCCCATTGATAAAAATTTAACTATAAAAATGATTTTGAAAATTGTAAAATCAATACGCATTCTAAAATATTACTTTTCTTTTCACTTACACAGTTCAGTATCAATATTATTGCTTCTTCTCCTTTTACTTGTATGGGCATTTTATAAATAAAAAAACAACTATTTTATGTTTTAAATTTTACAATAATAACATTGTACTTAGCAAATCAAGTACAAATTATACATAATTAAATTAAAATTGAAAAAATAGAAAGATTTGAAATTTCCTTATTTAAATAAGCATAGCTTGTGATGATAAGCCACAAACATACTGACAAAATTGACATTTGATGTCAAAAATTAGCAAACTATTATTTAATTTTATTATTTAAATTTGTTACTGATGTTTACATTTTGTATTATTCATGTTTGCCATGTAAATAATTGTTATATATTTTTATTTTATTAAAGAGATAGCGCCACTAGTTTATTCTATTATCGTTTATCATTAGATCATTAGTTTTCACTTTTTTTTTTTTTTTTTTTTTTAATTGAACTTAAGCCCGGCAACTAGGGCCATTAGCTGTTTGTAAGGGTTATGAACTATGGTAAGGGGTAAGGTTGGTACGGTAGGTTGTATTTTACGATTGTTACGGTTGATAACAAACACGTGTATGTGTGGCAAGGTTTTTAACCACTATGATCCCGAGTGGTCACCCATCCGGGAGCTAGTAGCTGTGGTCGTTACTTACTCTCAGTCGCATTCCGCGACTGATAGCAGCCAACGCACCACGCCAAGCCATTAGTTTTCACTGTTTCCAGGTTAAATTATCATACCTATTCTATGAAATTTTATTGTACAAATTTACTCTACAACATGTCTGTTTATTTTTTTTTAATAGCATATCTCCTTTCCTTCCTACTATGTATATTGTATTTAAACAGAGTTATTGGTATGAAAGAAAAGTGTATTTATTTGTATATTAATATTATTTAGATATTTTTATTACATTATTTAATATATACTTTTGGGGGAAATATATTGCTATAGCTTTTAACGTGCTAATAATTTAAATTTTCTATTGAAATAATCATAAAACAAACTTTACAAGATTTATTTTATCATTAATCTATGGGTATTTAGATCATGATAAAATATAGTAACAAAGGACATTTAAAATTGTATAAACTTAAATAATTGTTTTTAAATTCAACCATATAACAGTAAAATCAATGTGCTCTAAAATATTGCATTTCTTTCTTATCACACTCACACTTTGGTATGTTTCTTCTTTTATTTGTATGAACATTTTACTAGTCTACTAGGAAAATATTATTATTTTATTTGTGTTTCATAATTTAAATTTTTTATTAATTTATTAAAGTTCCCTTTTGATAATATTCATGAAAAATGCCTCAAAACTGTTTAAAATTATTTATTTCACCTGTTATCCTTCAATTATAGTATTTTGCATTAGCATTATTCACTATATAAGCTGTTATTATATAATCTAAGTACAAGTAGCCTTGTAGCTAAGAGAAATATATTTAATTTAAAATTCTTGTTTAGATTGAATGATTACATAGACTGTTCATAATTACTGAATTTTATAAAAAAATACTATGCATGAACAGTTTTTTACTTAAAACCACATTATTAGCTAATGATACCCAAATTGATCTGTTTATTTTAACTTAATTGAGTTTTTTATAATTAAATCATTACATATTATGTGTGAATTTTATTATTATGATATTAATAAATTGAACTATTATTTTTACTTTGTTATTATTCTACTGTTATTTTGATACTCGCCATATTATGTTTACTACACATGTGTTTATAATTTGAATTGGACATTACATTGAATTAATATTAAATAAATATATTGATTTATGATTTATAGTTTATTAATTAAAATAAACTATTCTTTTAATGGTTTAATTTTTTAGAAACTTAATTAAAATATGTTTTTATAAAAAATATTTTACCTTTACATTTAAGAGTTTTTGTTTTAATAAATCATGTTTAACATTTTAATGTACTACTCTAAATCAAGTTATCATGACATTTGGTAATGAAAACAAATCACTTTTTTTAAACAATAGAGATTTGTTAAATTACATTTTTTTTTTATATCAAGTGAACACCACTTGGTATGAATGATGTAGATATTTTATTTTGACTTTTAATTTCTTAATTTAGTTTTTTTTTTCTAAAAAAACAATTTCTTTTATGATTATAAAATGTCTTAACAACAAAAGCTAAGTTAAAGTGTTAAATAGTGTTACATAATCAATTATTCTTTTAAAATGGAATCTTAAGTAAAATCTTATAAACTTAAAACAGTTCTAAATCTAAAAAAAAAAAAAATAAAAAATAAGTAACTAGGTAAATTAGCACCTATTGATTTTTTTTTGAAAATTGACGCTTAATTTAATATTTTAGCATTTTAGTTGTAATTATAAAAATATATTTAATTATTATTGCTCTGTTTTATTTTTAGATTGTCCTGGTCTAAGAGAAAATTCTGGGAAACAAATTTTAGTGATTATGTTAATAATTGCTGTTGGCTTGTTTTTCACAGCTGCTATATTTGTAACTGTTTTAATATACACACGAACTAAATCATTAGGTAAGTATTCTAATTTAAATAGTTGAAATAAATCAAAGAATTCTACTATAATAATATTTTAAATAGTTTTAGTGATTAAAATATACTTTAATGTTTCAAATTTATTATTGATTATATTTATAGTCTATTTAATGGTATTTTTTTTTTTTTATAAAATTTGATGGTCACAAAGGTGTGATGAAAACAATGGTTACAGTAAAAGATAACTCAATTTCTACAATAGTTGGATGATTTAGCTTATTTCTAATTAAAATTATAGACCATACTTATTGACGTATTTGTATACATGGGCACGATTTCACTATATATCTGTCATATAAATTAAGGCTGAATTAATTGCAGCCTAGGCCATACTCCCTCACGAATTTGAGTCTTCCACAATTTTATAATTATTTAAAGGTAAATATGGAAAGATATAAATAATTTAAATTTAAACATATTGAAAAGTATATATAATATAAAAATTTATTTTTCTATTTATAAATTCAATTTTAATTTAAAAAATAATATTTATTTTTAAATTTTTAACGGGCTTTTTAAAAATTAGTTTTTAAAAATTGTTATGATTTCATAAAATATAAGAAACATTTGATAGATTAATATCACTATTTTATTTTAAACACAAATAACTATTCATACCAGTTATACTAGGTTACAAAATTGACAGAAACTTCAGAATATAATAAAGTTTAAAAAAATTATTTTATAAAGTTGTTGGTAGCAACTATAAAGAGTTCAGTGTATTGAAAATTATTCAAATCATTATATTTATAAGATTTTTGTATAATAATTTCTTTAATTTGTTTCTCTGTTATTTTTAAAGTAAAATAAATTAGTAATTTTTAAATAACCCCTTGTATATAGTATGATATAGTTTTATTTTAAATTACACTTAAGCTATTATCCCATTGAAACACTTACTTAGATTATTAATTTATCTTTAATTTATTTTTGAAAAAAAGATCTTTTAATTTTTTTTTTTAAATATGTAATATTCATAAAAAGTAAAAATATTCCACAATTTTGTTTTCAAATGTATAACTTTTATCATTTTATTAGTAATTTTTTGATGGTACTGCTCTTTTATTTATTTAATATGAATATTAAGTATATTTATTTTAACAACAGAAACTTCAATACAATTACTATATATTAAATAATAAATATATTCCATGAGATTCAAATCACCTATTAATGCTTAATTGTGTAGAATTTTATCAGAAATAATTTTTGTGTTTCTTTTTTTATGAAATTTTACATTGCATATAATGTATAAATATTGATAATTAACAATTTATTAATATTTATAGATTTGTATTTTTTGTTTACATTTTTATCAATATCACATAGTTTCCTTCAGTATGTTTTTAAAACATTGTTGATTATCTCTATTTTTATATTTATTGAAACTTCTACTTCAAAATTAACATTTTATCAAATTTAATTTAATTGTAGAATTTTTAATTTGATATAATATTATTTTTATATTTACCTTTCATCAGTTTTATTTATTTACTTATTAATTTATTAATTTACATTTTTGTTTGCTCCAATTACAAAATATTTATTATTCTGAAAACAATTATTTTGTTTTGTTTTTAAATCAAATGTATTTTTTAAGTTACAAATTTTAATGGAATAAATAATAATATTTTTCAACTGAATTTGTTATGTGTTTTCACATTAAAAAAAAATAAATATATTTAATACTTATAGTATAGTATATAGATATATTTATTACATAGCATTGTAGGTTTTTAATAAAAATGTGTATTAGATTCACATATATTTTGATTATTACTTAGGATTTACATGTAGTTTGTGGAAATTGACTGCCGTATATTCTATACTACAACACTAATATATTAGATGTATTCCTATTGTATAATCAATATACACACAAATGTTTTACTACCCAGTTGTCTTGTATGTTAAATTTCAAAACATTATCCCGCCTACTGTACGTTCACTTTTAATATGTGATATTTAAATAATTCGATGCAGGGGCGTCATTTAAGTTTTTTTAAATAGGGCGGAAAACATTTGCCAAGCTATTTTTTCCACAACTTGCACAATTTTTTAATTAATTTACGTAGTATATTATATTTATTTACTCGGTTATGTTATTATTATTACTGTATGTGTGGGTATGAGATATTTATAGATGAATCGATATATTTATTATATCTGTATAAATAATTTAAAAAGTATTTTTCATGGAAATATTATTTGATTATTTAACCAAGTCATTTTATTTATACAGTACAACCATACTCATTTAGGTAGTGAAGGTCAGAAAAATAAAAATGAATGTTTAACTACTTTGTATAACAAATAATAACACCATTTTATAAATTTTGATTACATAATATTAATTAAATACAGTTTTTAAATAAGTGTGGTTTTTGATTTTGAAATTTTAAGGTGATATCACAAAACTAGATAAACTGTATATTTAATATTGTTAGAGTGTTAAATATATTTTGTGCCAACGATACATGTTTTAGTTTAAGCGATGACAGCCAATAAATATTTTTGATTGATTGTATAAGTAGTATCTCTGCGTTTTATTATATTTAATGTGAGCAAATATCTAATTGTACCCAACTTAAACATATAATATTATTTTTAAATTGAAGGTTGTGAGGTTGTACAATTGATGTTCATGATTCGAATGTGACTTGAGTTACATTATTTTTTTATCATTATCATTTTTATACTTGTTATTACTTTGAAAGATATTGTTATGTTACGACTTCAAATTATATAAAACTTAAAAATGTTTTCAAAAACTACATACCATAGAATAGTCATTTTTATAGTGATAAAAGAATCGTCTTCTATATTATTTGAGTGTCAATAAACATGAAAAACATGTATACAATTTATCTACCACCTACCTACTTATGTACTAATACAAAATACGTTTATATGTGCATAAAGAAGCCACTTTAATTAATTACGTATCATTTCATTGTTTCAGCTCACCGAAAAGAAGTTGCTTTCAGTCGCTGGCAACCTCGGACACTTAACGCTGCTGATGGATTTACTTTGGGTAACATATTCAATAAAAAACAACGAGCCGGCTTCGAAAAACTTGCGACCGTTGAGGTGAGCGAAGACGACGACGATGATGACGAAAATGATCTGAACGTGAGGGCTTAATTATTGAAATACTAATAATTTAATAACAATATCGTGCTAGTAGATTCAATTTATCGCTACGGTTGTTATTATTTGTATTTATTAATTTATTTTAACACCGTTTTTCAACGGGCCTATATTTAGAATACTTCCCTAAAATTTGTCAGCTAAACATTTATATTTATATCGATCTGACCCCATATTACACACATACACCCTTACCATACAACACTCCATAAGTTTATTGTTACTATTATTATTCCTCTATATTATTGAAATGTTAAAACCAAACAGAGTTAAAAATATTATTTGTAACAATATTAATGATTATTAAAATTAAAATAAAAGAATTTAAATAGTCACTTTGTATTTTATACTTCGTTGGATTATAAAAGGTCCTCTTGATACATATGTATATAAATATTCCGTTTAATTCCTACTTTTCTTTTTTCCCGTTCGTCCGCATACTATTATGTTAATTGACCTAATCTCGGATCCATGTCATTCCGAGAAAAATATAATTTGGCTTTGGACTTACCTCTTGCCAGTCCACCGATTCACTGGCTCTCCTGGGATATGTTTTTGTAACCCAATAACGTGAATATGTACCTATTATAAACCCTCTGAAATTCTTATCTAAAATAAATTTATTTATAGACATAATGTGTTTACCACAAAATTACTTAACACGACTCGATTTTATTTAATTGAACCAATACACCAACTATCTGGGGACGGAATCACTAAGGGCCTTTAATCAGTCTTGGTGGTTTATCTGATGATTTTAAATTGATGGATTACTTGATTTGTACCGTAATCTTAGTACAGTAACATAGAGTGTGTCACATCTACCTCTCAATCCTGACATCATCACGTTTATCTAATTATATTAAACTGCGCAAGTATACCATAAAGATAATACGAGTGCAGTAGTAGTTACTAGATATTTGTATTATATTATATTATTGACATTATACACAATTTTTATTTCGTAGATTTAATGGATATAACATTAAGTTTAGCTGGAATCAAATAAATAATTGTTTTATTGAATTCATACTCTTTAATTTAATCATGAGGAATATTTTTCATTATGAGAGCAGTATTTATACAACAAAAATATTACCTTTCACATTGTAATGAAAAATACTTGTTTGATTATAACTGTCCAATTATAATAAGCATACAATATGCTAAAAAACGTGGTTGTAAATAAATTAAAAAAAATCATATTTTTAGTTCTCACTAAGAATTCAATCATTATTTTTGTTAAAAACAGGATTCGGTTTAATCTGTTTATGAAACTGGGATACCATAAACAAAATATAATTAATGTTTGTTATGTATTTAAATATATTACTAATTCAATGTGTGTTTATTTGATTTGATTGTCAGTTAAATTGTTAAACATTCAATAAAATATAAATATAATATTGTAATATTGATATTTTTAATAATTTTTTTTTCCGCTGTTAAAGAATAAAATATTCTGACTAGATAGACAACTGTGCCGCCCTAACTCAGCTTCTCTTTATATACAAAACTATCTCCACCTTCTTGAAACATGGTATAAAGAATGGGGAGTAAAAATGAATGAGAGCAAGTCCACTTATTATACGTTCACTCTTCGACATTGCACATGCCCGACACTTTTCTTTAACAATCAAATTTTACCTAATGCCCAATGTGTGTGATATCTTGGAATTTACATCGTCCGTCTACTCACTTGGGTACCACATATCAAAAGCAAAATTAGCATACTAAAGAACCGTCTTCGTCTCTTACGACCCTTATTAACATTCAAAAAAATAAAACTACCCAACAAACTACTAATCTACAAACTTCTTATAAGACCCATCTGGACATATGGTATCCAACTTTGAGGTGCTATAAAAATATCTAACATTAACCGCATTCAAAGATTTCAAACAAAAAATTCTTCGTATCGTTTCAAAAGCTCAATTCTATATTTCCAACAAATCCCTCCATTCTGACTTTAAAATACCAACTGTCACTGAACTATCCAAACTTTATTATAAGCGTTTCAATAGCCGATTAACCTAACACCTAACCCTCTCATAAATCAATTCTCATCCATAACCATTCTAACCAATCTTCAAAAAAGGTTAAGAAGACATTGGTGTCGTAATCTGCTAAAATAAATCAGAAAAAAAATGTATATAAAAAAATAAAAATAAAGTTTAACTTTATAAGCACCTAAATTAATTATATGAATACGTATTAACACTATTAGTACTATATCAAATTATTCGTGTATACCTGTGAGGTAAATAGAAAATAAAAATAATTAATTTTATTCTTGGGTATGCGAATTCTTATAATTTAATCAACTGTTACCATTTCTAAGATTTTTCAAAAAATAACACTAAATTTTGTAGTTATTTTTAAAATTTAAATTAAAATAATCCTCCTACAAAACTACTTCACTGCAATATATTTTAAACTTTTTGTACGTATCATGTATTATTATATTCAACATGTTTTAATCCTGATGTATTAAAAACAAATACCAAACCAGCGTTAAAGAGGGCTGTAATTAAAATTTTCACAATATACAACTTTATATTAAAAAAAAGTATTAGTCCATGTAAATTATAATAGTTAACAAACTCTATCTATGACTGAAATATATTATATTTTGATAAATAACCAGAGGAATATTTTGTGTTAAATAATGTATTATTTAATTTTAACTTAGCATGTTATTATATCTTTGTAATAAAGTAATATATCTGGTGTTATTAATGAATAATTATTTAGATTAAACAATCGGATAATGCTTATAATATTTAAATGTCAAGTAATTATTTTTATCATCCATTGTTCTTATTGTAAAATTTACAACTTGCATTAGGTATTGATTGAAAAACAAATATTTTATACGTAAAAAGTAGTAATAGTCCAACTAAGATTAGGAAACAAATATAGGCATAATATAAATGAAGAATCAATGTGAAAAAAATTTGTAATAGATTTAAAGGTGAATTAATGGTAAAAATGATAAATTAGCTGTAACTTGGTGTGAAACTGTGAATAATACTTTTTAGCATATTTTTTTGGTATAAAAAGAAACTTAATATTAGTGTATGAAAAAAGCTTTTTAGCAATTTATATTATTAATATGTATATTGTACAATATACATAAAAAACACTTATGAAAATGTAACATTGGTACTTAACCGTTAACCATAATTCATAAAGTAATTTTGAAACATACGGTTAAACGTTTCATAGAAACTAATAATAATAATACAGTGACTGTCATCAAAAATTGATAACATAATATTTCATAAAATATCATGATTCGTTTTAATTAAATTAAGGGATCTAATATTCACATAAAATGTTGATTTACAACAAAATAACTAAATCAATTTTATCGATACCTAGTTATAAATATTCTTGGTTTTCCGTATTTATTTATTTATTTTTTTTAGTTTTTCCCAATTATTAAGAAAAGTGCGTGGAATTTTTATTTTCTACTATGCTCCTCCACTCATTCCAATTTATTACCAAAATCAGCTCGAAGTTGAATATCGAAGTATTTTTTCTACTATGTATAAAAAAATACACAAAAAAAAAGGACATCATTGTTCAAAACTGTCATTCGGCAGTGACTTCTTTCACCGGGCTTAAATATTGTTTCGTATTTTCTATTCGAATATAATTGTAAATTTTTATAAATTTTTATGTATCCTTAATAAACGTTAAAAAAAAAAAGTATTAAGAAAAAATAAATATTTTTAGAAAATTCGTAGTCAAATTGTTATAGATCATTTATATACTGACGTTTAGAGGGTTTTCGAAAAGCTTATTTGGTTTTTAAACGAGCGCATATGTTATAGCATACAATCAATCTTAATAGGCATTTGGTACAGTCAAAATAATGAATCACATAATTCAGGGTTTATTTATTTCTTCAAAAGTTTGAATTGCTCATTGGTTTTTTGGTAAATTATCAAATATACCCGGCTATTGGTGAATACAATATACGAAATAGTACAAGTTTTATATTTTATTCCTTTTTAAAACGACAGTACGAAAAGCCAACCATCGTTCTACTCTAATGAAAAACTAAATAAAAGAAACAAATATTAACTTCTATTCTGTGCGTAAATATTGTATTCATTGATTATTATTAATCGTTAAAATTACAAATTGGTGAAGTAAATGCTTATAATATTATTTAAATTAAAATTAGGTATTTAATAATACTATATCCTAGCTATGCATATCAGAAATTATTGTGTGCAGATAAATATTTTATTATTTTAGCCATAATATGGAAAACATTATTGACACTAAAAAGTTGATTTTGTTTACCTAATCTACTATTTACCTTTACGACCTGCTACACTAATAGTTAATAATTATTATAATATGAATTACTTATCTAGTTAAGCTTTACTTCTGAATATTGTAAAATTTTCAATTTTTGGTTTTTTGAATTCAAAAATATAGATCAATATAATTTATTGTCTGTATCACACTATCAACAGTAACATAATTACCTTATTGTATTTTTTCATTAATAAAAATGTACCCATCGAAGCACTGCTATTTCATTTTCAAATAGATTAAAACGATTGGATATAGTTTGGTAAAACCTTACCAAAACATTTTTCGGAGAAACTCAATCTGTAAATTACTTTATCTTTTTTAAGTCATTAAAAAGGTTTAATACTGGTGAATGTTTCACAGATAAAATAAAAAAAAGTGAAAAAAAAAACCAAAATACAAATTTATAATCAAATTCCATTCCATTTAATTTTTTTTTTATACCTTCATAATTAATATTATGCATGCCAACTTATAGTGCTTACTGACAAATAATAAATTTAACCAATAGTTACTATATATCAGTAAAAATTGTTTTTATAATTATTATAAAATTATATACCTTAAACTTAATAGTATGTATTCCCTAAGCTTATAATATTTATTCTTCATTTCCTATTATAACTAAAGTACTCATCGCTCTTTAAATTAATATTAAGTTGAAACTAACTTCGTCTTCATATCTATATAATAATAATAATACTAATAAAACGTTATATAATAAATGTATATATATATATATATATATTTATATGTGTAGAAGTAATAATAAAAATTATATGATAGACAGAATAGTGACAAAGAAATATATTGGTTAAACATATAGCTTGTTTGCAGGCAAAGTATTAGTCCTTATGTCATGTGATTTTCTGGCGGCAAATGAGTTATCTGGAATATGATTTGCTGTAAGGTTGAAAATGAGGAAATTACTGTGGGATTGAAAAGTTGGGATAT